GCGCGAAATGCAGGCGAGAGTGCGATTTGACCTGTTCCCGCGCAACCCTCTGCGGAGATCGTGCGCGTGGAGTGCGCGAAACGCAGGCGAGAGTGCGATTGATGCGATGCGCGCGCGGCCCTCTGCATAGATCGTGCGTGTTACTCGACACACTAGACTGAACGTCACACTTAACAACGTAAAGACACACACACAGAGACGGACTCGACACACTGAACACGTCACACTTAACAACATAGACATACATACAGAGACCCACACACGGACTCGACATACTAGACTGAACTTGTCACACTGAACAACATAGACACACACACAGAGACCGATACACGGACTCGAGACACTAGACTGAACACGTCACCCTGAACACAAAGCGCGCAGTACACCTGGACGTAGCTAGACATTTTTTCGGGGAAGCGTTTCCGTAGACACAGGCGAGTCGCGAGCTGAGCAGAGAGTGAACGCTGTTCTACCGAGCTTGCGGTGGCGTGAGAGAGGTTCAGAGAGTGAAGCTACTTCGTTCACCATAATACTGGTCGCGAGCCGAACAGCGAGACTACGCTAAACATCTGCAGTGCCTGCTGTGTGTCACCTCACGCTACTTTGTCACAAGCATAGTGATTGGTTAACTACATCCTAGAAAAGCTGTGTCCTGGAGTGAAGGAAACGTTACTTCTGATCGTATATCGATGGGCGCGTCTCCTCTGACAGGTCACAGCTTCGACAAACTTGTCGCGTACCTGCCTTGGCAATTTCTGTCTTCATTCCAGCTCGTTTTTTTCAGTGAGATTTCCTGGAGGCGTGCACGCTGCTTCTCCCCTTACCAGCAGCTCAAATTCTCACGACGATGAGCTGGGCTGTCACCGCTTGGCCGCCGGTGGGGGGTTTGGGAGGCCTGCGCGCTACTTCGTTCACCATATCTACAGTGAAGACCTTCACCAGCAGCACACACAGACAGGGACTCCTACACACACATCACACACAGAGACCCGCCTCAACTTACTCGGACACACACACATACAGAGACCCAAATACACACGGACACAGATACACACACACAGAGACCCACACACTACCTCAACTCACTCGACTTAAACACTTCACACTGAACACTCTGACTTCCTACGTGATGAAAAATGCAAACCTTGTAACAACGTTCTTCTAGATTTCTGCGGGTAAGAGCTTGCATTTTCAACGTTTTCCTCAGAATTTGTGGGAAAGTGGATGTCCCATATATGTGTGTTTTCATGAAAGGAAAGCTCTTGAAAGAAAAACTTATTTATTGATATATAGCATGTTTAAATTGACCTGACTGTTTCCAGAGATCCAGAGGAAAGCTTTTGAAGTGAAAACTTTTATATATTTTTATTGTAGAAATGATCATCCCCAGAGATCTAGAGGGAAGCTCTTGAATTAGAAGCTTGTACATAAAAAAATTTTAATATGTCTGTATTATTTCCAGTGATTACGGTAAATAAATAGATCTAATTATTTACTCCAAAAAAGAGTTTAGTCGTGTTCTCAGCACTCCCAGGGAAAAAAATACTGTAAAACACGGGGTTTTGTAGCTTGTTTATTTAAACGAAATAGACTAGAGCTAGAATAGAATTAGGTAGAATTACATTGGATTTGAGTTGGAGCTAAGATAGAACTGAATTAAAACCGAATTTCAACTAAACTTGCGTCGAACTATAACTATAACCTATACAAAGTTAAATGAGAGTTGAATTAGAAAGGAATTGGAATTAGAATTAGAAGTTCGCCAGAATAAGATGTAAAACGTTTGAGCTACAAGATGCACAAGTCAAGGAGGCTTCGAAACTACAAAGCCGAAGCAAAAGCAATAAGCGTTGAATTAGAACTACAGCTCACACAGATTCATAACAATTTCATGTAAATTGGAAGGCGTCATTACAGTTTCATGTCAAGCTGATTGGACATGCAATTGGCAACCACATTGATACCAATCAGAAGTTAATGCACAGGCTTGTACATGGAGATTTCGAGGACAAAGGGAGTGTTGGGCTCAGACGCTTTCATTGTAAGAGCAAAGAACATATGCCTTTGGGTGAGACTTAGGCACACATGCTTGAAGGTTGAACGAAATAGTAAGAACACAGACTGACCTAAATAGGAAAACCAAAAAACTTGAGGAAACCAATGACAACCTAGAAAAAATAACAAAAAACAAAAAACCTTGGGGAAACCAAAACAAAACAAAAAAAACAATTCTGGGGGAGTCTTGAGGAAGGGGGGGGGCCAGCCAAGAGTCTCTGAGAATTGTTTTTTGTTTTCCCAAGGTTTTTTGTTTTTGCTTAAGAGGGGTTCCAGCCAAGAGTCTCTGTGAATTGTGTGTTTTTGGTTTTTTTGGTTTTCCCAATGATTTTTGTTTTTTCTCAAGTGTTTTTGATCCTTTATGCACATGTATCAGTGTTGTTGTTGGTTTTGACTGCGCCACTGAAGCATTTACCCAATATTTAAAGAAAACCAAAACCTAGGCCCCATGGCCACCCCTTCTGCTTGTGAGACACTCGTGTAGGACACTCTTGTGGGTCACTCTTACAGGACAGTCTTGTAGGACTGTTGTAGGACACTCTTGTGGGACACTTTTGTGGGAAACTTTTGTAGGCGACTCTCTTGGGGCACTCTTGTGGGACACTCTTATAGGACACTCTTGTGGGACACTCTTGTGGGACGCTCTTGTAGGACACTCTTGTGGGACACTCTTGTAGGACACTCTTGTGGGTCACTCGTACCGGACACTCTTGTGGGACACTCTTGTAGAACACTTTTGTGGGACACTCTTGTGGGACACTCTTGCAGGACAATCATACGGGACACTCTTATAGGACACTCTTGTGGGACACTCTTGTGGGTCGCTCTTGTAGGAAACTCTGGCGGGACACTCTTGTGGGACACTCATACGGGACACTCTTGTGGGAC